GGAAAATAAAAGACAACCTTAACTCAAACCTTGTTTATTTCCTGATTCGAAGTTAGGTTCCCCTTAGTTAATGACCCCTTTACAATTAGAGCGCTATTAGCGACTTGAACACAATTCATATGCTAGAAGGACTAGATTTTACTTACATACCTAAGGGCTAATCATAACCCCAAATTAATACCAGTATTTACAATATTTTAGAGCGGTGTACAGAAATTAGAAAGGGTTAGTTCTTTGAATCTCAATAAAATCAATAATATTACTTGTCAGTACCCCATTAAAATCCCCAATAAAATCAATAGTATTACTTCTCAATACCCCACGGTCATTAGCGTTGGATCCAAGGCGAAAGACATATTAAGCGCAACTCATAGAAAAGGTTAACTTCATTTAATATTAAAAATCCTGTAATTTCTGTATATTACAGAAGTTCATATCCAAAATACTTATAAACTAAAATAGTATTTGTATCACTAAACAATGTGAAACATACTCTTATCATAAAACACTCTATGAAATATGACATATGAACTAACCATAAAAACATAGGCAATGAGGGCCTTTAATAGCACATGAACACGTTATTTATTCAAATAAATTCATAAAGAAAACTGTATACATATACGTATCAGTGGTAGACTAAATAATAAACCCCAAATTATAACCGAAATGATAAAAAAATAAATACAGAATTTCCCTTTATCTCCTGGTCCATGCTATTAAAGGCTAGCGTTGCCGCCTGTGGCATGTAGTCCTATGAAGCCAAATCTCTGCTGTTTTAGTAAAGTAGATGAGGTGTTCGAACTCCAAAATGGCTGTTCTTCGTTAAAGGTAATTTCTAGATTATAAGTTAATTCTCTGCTAGTTTTGAGACAGAAATAGGCGAGAAGGCATAACGTTCGATTAAAACCGTTACATGGAATCTTCCAAATTTCCGGAGATGCCGATGAAAGTTGCTGAAAGTTTTGCAGTTGGGCAACCGACGATGAGGAAATATTAACGAGTACATCCTGCGAGCTTCAAGCGCGTTTCCATCAGACAGACCATTACCAAAATGAATGTCTGCAAGGTGCTTGAATGAAAATGGTTCATTTTCCATTGTTAAAAAAAGAAAAATAAATAATAACTACACAAAAATAACTAAACCGACTGTAAACACCAAAACGTAAATAATGACAAATGTGTCATTATTTACTACTAACAAAGGTCACAGCCCCCTAGGTTTTTTTTAGTCATTTTCATAGTAGTTACAATTTATTATTATTAATTAAATAAAATCACACTTTGAGATGCCACTGGAATAAATAATGAATGAAATTTCATAACGCAAATAAAAATTAAGACAATTGGCGACAATCTCTATCATTTAGTAATTAATTTTTTACTTGTTTTAATAGGGCCAAGCACAGAGGCAAGAAAATTATATTATTGACCGCTTAATCTAAAAAAAAAATTTAATTGTCAAAAAAGTAGGTAGCCCCCTGAGACGCCACTGGAATTAATTTATTTATTTATTCTCACCAAAGAAACGCCCTTATGATGACAAATAAGCCCACTAAATTTTATTTAAATTGGATGAAAGATTTTTGAGTAATTAATAAAAAAACCGATTTTTTTAAAAAACTTTGACACCCTGATTCTAGAAAACGAAACAAATTAGGACATATATGAAAAAAAATTCTTATTTTTGGCTGATAAATACGCCCTGAAAATTTTTGCACTCCATTTTGAACCACCCTGTATATCTGAAAGATTGATCAATTATAAACATTTTCCTTATCTTTATAAAAAAAATCAATGAAAAATGAAACACTCTGGTTTAAACGCATTATACTATTTTTATGACAAGAAAGTACTATCAAACTATCTTTAATGAGAATGTGAAAATAGAATGTATCATACATAGGATATTCATTTAACATTACTGTTTTTTTTTTTTCAGAGGAATACATAACCTTACAAACATTAAAACAATAACTTCAGGAGCGCGAACCTTTCAGTGGATCTATATGGTCTCTGGAAAATTTTAAAGAACACTGGTTTATATACAGGGTGTTTCAAAAAGGTATGTCATAAATTCTTCCTCAGATTGATTACCAAAAAAGTGGATTTGGCTATATTCACCTATATTAAAAATGGCTCCCAACAAAGTTACAGTTACAGTTGCTCTAGAACATCAGTAAAAAAATTTAAATAGCTCGTTAACTAAGAGAGATATAAAAAAATTTGAAAATGTATAGTTCTTTTTGACTTTAAGATCGTTAAAGCAAGTTTTCTTGTGTCAAAAAAATAGAGGGGGGTTTAAAGGTACCCTTCCCCCCTAACTTTTTTTGAGAGAGTCGCTTTAATTTTTTTTATCCTTAGAATATTGGGCCTTCAAATCTACAGTACTGACAAAAATTTCAAAGAAAAAATAGAAACGGCAAACTTAAAAAAAACATTTTTCTGAATGTTTATTTAACGCCCTGTAACTTTGTTAGGGCCATTTTTTGATTTAGGTAAATATAGCCAAATCTATCTAAGGAAGAATGTATGACAGACCTATTTGTATCTTTTTTAAACCAATATGTTAAAATCAAAAGGAAAGGCTTGTAACTGTTTTTTTTTTGGATTAGACATGGATATTGGATGGGGAAAACTTTTTGCATTGGTTTAAATATCAGCTGTAAGTGAACTTAAAAGAATCTTCTACAATTATTATGGATAATGACAGTTACCACAGTAGGGTGGTCAATAAAGTGCTGACAACAACTGCCAAAATAGCTGATATGGAGAACTGGTTAAACATGGTATTCTTTTTGAAACAAGTTTGGCAAAACAAAGTTATTAAATTTGGTACAAATGCAAGTCAATATAAAGATTACTAAATGTAATATGTTAATAACTAATCCATAATTGAGTTTAAATTATAAAATTAATAAAATTCAAAACGAAATTGAATAACAGGAATAATATAATAATAAAAATAATATTAGTAATATAAATAATATTAATAATATTAAATCAGCAAAGAAAGCGTTAATTAAAAATAATATATTATTTAAAAACTGTCTTGTTCGAATATTTTTGAATATTTTTATAGAAGTATGATTTTGTATATTAAAAAAATCTCTTGCGTTTTTTTGAATCACCTGCGTATTCCCATTATAAATTCAATTGAAACATTATTAAAATATATTAATTTCGCATAACCAGGTTTAGAAATAGAAACTTCTTACAGCTATGGTAATTTCATTTCCAGACCAACAAATTACAGCCAATTGGATAAGTACGCAACTAAAAAACACCAATTGCGCGAAAAATTCTGGGGACGTCATCGGTACCTAAAATACAAAATTAGTTTAATAAATTATATTTTTTATCTAGATATACAGGGTGATTCATAACTGTTGGTAAATGGGCTAAGGGCAGGTTATTTGGATCAAAATATGGCGATAGGACCAAATATACCTTAATAAAATATTGCTATGAAATAAGTTGAATTTTTTTCGTTTTTTTCTGATAATGTCACTGTATATTTATGAATTGTTATCAAAATCGGCACACAGAGGCCGTTCTTTAAATAAGGAACATTATTTTATGCATTATTTCACATTTTGTTACAGGGGGCGCCACGTGAATGATTCCTGATGATGAAATTAAGGGGGAGCTTTTTTTGACGAAACTTTTTAGTATATTTGATTAGAAAATATGATGTAAACATCATTTTTACGTAATATTGGCATTCTAGTTAAAACACGCTAATTTCGCCCGTTTTCGAGAACAACACTATTAAACAGCTCAAAAGTCTCAGATGGAGATTTAAAAAAAATATATTATTTATGAAAAGTGTGCTTCACAGTGTCAAATAGTTATGTTTGGTACATATTATTTCTTGCCAGTGACCTATTTTTGCTGTGAGATTATAGTCTTATTATACTAATATTATCTACCGCAATGTACCTTATTCCAATATTTTATTAAGGAATATTTGGCCCTATCACCATATTTTGATCCAAATAATCTTAGCCTGTGTCCCATAGTAATGAATCACCGTGTATAGTATGTTTTATTAAAACTTACAATCGAAGCGACATACAGACAGGAAGCAAAAATTAACAGGGAACACAACGTTTGAATTAGGGTCACAAAAGTTACTAGTTCTTCAATATCATCTCGAACTCTAAAATAAAATAAAATAAATTTAAATTATTTTATTAATATCAATGAATTAATAAGCTTAAAATTAACAATTGAGGAATTACCATCAGAAAAAGATGGTAAATATTTTATGGAAAGTTTTGTTTAAGATGACAAAACGTTTTCTGCATTTTATTGTTTTTAGGGAAGCTGTATACAGGTAAAAATCTACTAGGTGCCATTTTATAGATATTCTCAATACCATGCAAGTCTTCAAAATGGTATGGCGAATCGCCTAAAACGATGTTCCCTAATACTTTCTAGCTATGATTCCGATTTAGAGTTGGTCAAATCAGAAAAAAATCTAGCAGACACCTTGTTATGTTTGCCATTGCTTTAAGAAGAGAATTCACATATTCATGTAGATTTAAATATGATTAAAGCAGCTACATCGAAAGACAAATTGTTTTAAATTTAGTAAATACTGGGTGGCCACAAAATGTTCGTGGAAATATAAAATTTCTTTTCAAAGTGATGTGTTTGTACATTAACGGATGCAACAAGTTTTTTCGATAATGATATTACGAAAATAATTCGATTTTATTTAGTTAATGATTACTAAACAATAAATGCCATATAAAACATTAATAAATCCCCCCATAAAGTTTACATTTTTGTCACCAGTTGGCGTTAAAGTCATGACGCATGGTCCCTATATTGAAAAGATAAACTTTTTAAAATTTCAACTCGATTTTATGTCATCTTCATCCCGTCTCTAACCATCTTCATCGCTAAAAAATCCACTCTTGACTATATGACACAAAGAATTAGCGTTATTTTAAGTACCCAATTTTAATTTAGATACTACATTATAAACTTACCCTAATAACAATTGTACATGTTCAATAACGTGTTTCAATTGAGAGTACATTTCATTTTCCAATTCCGGATATTCTTCGTCATGCATGATTTCCATATTTTCAGGCATTTTTAGTTTCCTCAAACTACGTTGACGAATTGTGGAAATTACATGATTTGCTATTACCAGCTGAATTTTGAAGCATTTTAATAGTCCTACAAATATACCGTCGTAGTCTACAAGTAAAATTCCAATTCAAAATTAATAAACTTTCCATGGTACCATGAAAAGAAGTTGAATATAAATATAAACATCTGTTCACCTCTTATCCTTGGTGAATGTATATAAGAATTATCTATGTGAAAAATAGGAAAAAATAATTAAAGTAAAATAAAATAAATATTTTCAATAATTTTCTTTTGCCTATTACCTGAAATTATTTAATTTTATTGGATTTATTATTGGTTATTAGTAACATTAATTAGAACATTTATTTTATATAACTAATAAAGAAAACGTCTATAAAATTGTCTATTTGTTTTAAGAATTGTTTAAATACTGTTTCGATTAGTGCAACAGAATTTATTTTATATATACAGTGTCGGCTATAGACCTTTTCATCATGTGATGAGCGCAAGCGCAGCCACCATGTTGAAATAGCGGTAATTCAAAAGTTTCGTACTGTTTTGATCGACAATTGCTGGGAAAGCAATGTTATCTCTACAGAAAAATTAATCATTAGAAAAAATCGTTGATTGTGAATAACTTTTTTATAACTCTGTGGAAGCGCATAGTTGTGAGCAGTTGAAAAGGAGGTTGAAGTGTCTTGGATGTTTGTTACAAAGGAACAAAGTGGACTAATTGAGAGGTTAGGTGTATCAATACTTTTTAACTCTGTAAAAAATTAATTATTCCAACCAACTATTACTACTTGCAAAAACACTTTAATTAGAATGAAAGTTAATCACGAGTATAATTAATAAAATAAACTATTTATTATTTTGAGGATCAACATGACATTTTTAATCATTTAATGTGTATACCGAAGTAGTATTTAATACTAAAAAAATATTGTTTAATACCACATGAGAATTTTCTTCTGTTGGACCACTTTCTCCATGAAAATGCAGTGAAATATAAGTATCTTTAGTAACATCATTAATCCATCGAAAACCTTTGTCACTTCGACCATATTTTTTCACACTTAATGCACATTTCGAATATCTTTTAATATGGATTTTGCCTGATAATTGTTTACGATATTGCAGTTAAGGCTTTGGAAAATTTATAAAGTAATATCTATTGCCTTTGAATGATTTATACCGTGTGTCACTTTTACATAACAACACTGTTTCGTTGTTCCTTTCCGTACAGATAACATAATTATAATTGATTGTGAATATGTATTTTTCAATTAAGACACTAAACTTATTATTACTTTACTTTTTTCTTTCTTTTTTTAATTGAATATAGACTTAAATTAATATATATCAATTATAATTTTTTTCACGTAAGCATTTTAACATACTTGTTTACAAAAACAGTACGAAAAAGATGGCTGAAACTGACGCATGCGCACAAAAAAAAAATTGTGATGAAAAGGTCTATTAAAAGCTGTTCTAATACGCTTTGTTAATGTCAAAATAAAAATTACAGAGAGTTATAACAATTAATATCAACATTTTCAGTTTAAACAATATACAACTACGATGAATGGACATTTTGAAGGTGTTTCAATATGGCACAAAATTGTACATAGTACAAAAAATCCACCTGAGATCGTTGAAAAATGAGGTACTGTAAATGAAACAATGATCTGTCAGAATTTTTTTTTTTGTAATAATTGTAATGTATTAATAACTACTAATCAAACTCTCTGAAACAAACGAAATAAATAGTGAAAACTGTTATGTCACCTTAGTCATGGCGATCCGGCAACGTGGCTAGAGACACGGTGTCCTAACCTAACTCTTGGCACCGGTTTGTGAGAGAACATTATTATCGTATTCGCACGCGACTTGACGTTTGTATGAGTGATGCTCCATATGAATCCATGATAATGCTGGCCGCGTGCTGCAGGAAAATCGCGGGATTGTCATTTTTTATTTTCAGCCGCGTGCGACCACGCGAAAGAACCGCGTTAATGGGCTTTGAATCATTTAAAAACATCTAAAGTATTGCCGCGCGCGATGCTTCGCGATCAGTCGCGCGCGGCGTGTCGCATGAGTGGGCTTTCCCTCTTAGCTGTTTTTAAATGACTCGAAGCCTTTTAAAAGGGAAAGCCCACTCACGGGACATGTTGCGCGCGTCTGATCGCGAGGCATCGCGCGCGGCACTTCTTTAGATGTTTTTAAGCTGCGTGCGACACTGAACGTATGTGTCGCTGCTTGTCGTCTGTTAAAAATCGGACCTAAAAAATCGAATGCGACAGGTCGCGCAACGACATGTCGCGTGAGTGGGCTTTCCCTCTAATAGATGCTTGTATTTCCAATTGCAAACCGAAATGTAGTAGATCTATTACAAAATTTCCAATAAAACAAGTGGTTACGACGTTAATTTGTATAGCTACTCACAAGAAATGACGAAAGCCCATACGTTAAGACCAATATCCATAAACGTCGAGGCCACAATGCAAGCACGTTTCGTTTCGGTTGGAAACGGTATCCGAAAAAAATAGGGCATGAAATCATAACAAGTTTTGTTTGTGCCTTCGAACGTATCGCCTGGAATTTCCTTTTGCATTGTCAACAACGCTGATACATGAGCGGTTAAACCGACGAACCAATACATACCAAAAATCTACAAAAAAAAAATAGTGTTTTATTTAGGTTAGGTAGTAGGTAGAAGCAGTAGACCTTAAGAGACACGTATCAAGAAGCACCTCTCTAGACCTGCCTAATCAAATTTCGGTCATCACTTAAAATTTTACATAGTTTTTCTCCAAAATATAATAGCAACATTTTACATAGTGTTCCAGTTATCAATTTTAGGAAAATTTACATACTTGAGGATCTGGAGATCCTATGTGAGATTTTTTATATATATAATTGCAAATTTATAATCTACTCAAGAATTTACAGAGTGTTAAGTAAATGAATTGGTTTCTTGTTATGTGGCATGAGACGGGCACCATCCATCGATGGGTCTGCGTTGTTTACCTATTCTAAGAGGTCTTCTGGCCAGTCTTCTGCATTCCATAGGATCAGTGTATAGGTTAGCTATTAATGGAGCATTAGCTATCGTTCGAAGTGTTTTGGATTGAAACGTTTGTAATATTTTGGTGTTCGATGATTTGCTACAACCCCATAGCTATATACCATATGACCAAATTGGCTTCAGTATGACTTTATATAGAAGTACCTTCAGTGGCGTGCAATCAATGTAGGCAAAAAGGCATTGCCTACCTTAGCAATATTTGTAAAATTATCGAAAACATGCGAAAACTCAACTTCTAAATTTTACTTCCTTCATTTCAGTCTTTTTCGTCTGCAATTATTATTAAAGCAAACGCAAATGTTTCCACGATTCCAAAATATAGTGCAATCTTGCTTTTAAGCGCACTTGATACTTCCTGTGTAGGTGGCCCATATTTACGCGCCGTGAGGTGGACCGTTGGGATAATATGGAAACTATATCGAGATGCGAAGGCAGCACCTACAGTGATAATAATAAGCGTACGTATTACTCAGGGACAAGATCGACTTAGCATTTTGTCAATCATTTCGTTGGAGAAAGAACTCTTGTTACATTTAAAACGCGATTTGACTTTTTATGGTGATGTTATCAAAGCATTTTTGATGAAAAACCGCCGTATTGAACTAATTTATAAAAAAATCTGATGTGTCCAACACATGACTTTCCTATCTAGTTATTACAGGCTTTTTCAGGTTATTTTGTACAACCTATTGCAGCATCTCTATAAATGTTTAGAGGATAAACTAAATATATACATTGTCCACATACATCTACCGCGAAACATTTTTCTATAGATATTCATTGAAAATGAAAATACTGAAAAATTTAAATTTAGCACTTTTCCTACAATTTTTCCATTACGGTCCATTTTAAAAAAATCATGTATGAACAAATATTATAGAGATCGATATCGCAAACAACTTTTATTTCAACAATTTTCATAAAAATCAGAATTTTGCACATTTTGTCAAATTTTTCGAATACGGACCATTTCAGGAAATTTTTACATAAAACAAAAATTATAGATAATAATATTAGAAGTAACTTTTATTTGAGCAATTTTTTCTCCAAACATAAATAACAGATATATTCCATAAAATATAAAAACGGCCTCCCATAAAGTACCCCCCCAGATGTTCCGACTTTGTCCAAAATCTAATCATTTCACGTCAGGCCGAAATAAAACTTAAGTTTAAAATTTAATGTTTTTTTCTTCATCCGTTTTTGAGTTTTCTTCAAATTTCGAAATTTACACATTTTCTCAAATATCTCGAATACGGTCCATTTTAGAGAAATTATGTATGGAAGAAAAATTATAGAGAATTATATTACAAACAACTTTTATTTGAACAATTTTTATAAAAAATCATTTTTTTTAAATTTTGTCAAATTTCTCGAATACGGACCATTTTAGGAAAATTTTATATAGAACAAAAATTATAGATAATAATATTGTAAGTAACTTTTATTTGAAGAATTTTCTTCTCCAAACGTAAATAACGAATATATTCCATAAAATATAAAAATGACCACCTATAAAGTACCCCCCCAGATGTTCCGACTCTGCCCAAAATCTAATCAGCTCATTGGACGCTGAAACAAAGCTTAAGTTTAAAATTTGGTGTTTTTATGTGTATCGGTTCATGAGTTATGCGTTATACAGACACACACACACACACACACACACACACACACACAGACACACACACACACACACACACACACACACACACACACACACACACACACACACACACACACACACACACACACACACACACACACACACACAGACATCATCGCGAAAATAGTCAAAACGGATTCAGGGGACCTCGAAACGTAAAAATCCGTCAAAAACTCGAGGTCGAAAAAAATCATGATTCCTATACTTTCCTTATATCTGTATACAGATAGGAAAGTAATAATTTATAAAAAATAATTATTTCTGTTTCTTATTTTGGTAGATATTTTAATAAATTTGTGTAAATTAAGACAGTGTTTTACCTCAACAAGAGAACAATTTTTCTCAACGATTTGTTATGGGTAAGTTAATTTTAAAAAAATATACAGTGTGTCTACTTAAGTTGGAACCACATGGAAAAAAAATTTATTATTGATTTTAGGAAAAAAAGTTATTCTTGATAAAAAGTCCTGCATGACGCAAAACTTAAAATACAGTCATCAGATATCAAATTTTTCAAGCCGTATACAAGGTTTGTCAAAAAATATGAATTTTGCTCAGGAGTAAAGTACGTTTATTTTTGACAAAATCGAAAATTTTCATTAAGAAAAGTTGATTAGAATTAAAAATTACATTCAAATATGCAATTACATCGATCTATCTGAAAAATCAGATTTTTCCTAGATTTTGCATTGATCCACCTAATTACGGTAATCCATAATTTTTTCTCTCTCTTCTCTACTTAAACATGATACACTTTCTTTTTCTTAAAGTTTGTGAAGAATTTAGCAATTTTTTTAACTAAAATTTTCGATTTTGTCGAAAATAAACGTACTTTACTCTTGAGCAAAATTCATATTTTTTTGATAAACCTCGTATACGGCTTGAAAAATTTGATATCTGATGACTGTATTTTAAGTTTTGGGTCATGCAGGACTTTTTATGAAGAATAAGTTTTTTTCCTAAAATCAATAATAATTTTTTTTTCCATATGTTCCAACTTAAGTAGACACCCGGTATATTAATTATACTAGCCTTTGCCCGCCCTACCTCCAATGTCACTGCACGCCACTAAGTACCTTGTTTTCAAGTGATAATTGTGAGCGACGACAAATCAACCAGTTGATTTTTTGGGGTTTTAGTTTCAAGTGTTCTTTTTTAGCTTTGATATGAGTTTTCCAGGTTAACTGTAATTCTAAGTGTAATCCAAGATATTTAACTTCAGTTTTCACTGATGTTTGCATGTTGTTGATAAAAACTTGTGGACAACCACTGCGTTTTGTTGTGAACGTGATTTGGGTAGATTAATCAGTGTCAACTTTTATCCTTCAGTATTGCAGCCAATCTTGTAGTAGATTTAAATAAAATTGTAGCCTTTCTAAAGCTCTTATAGAATCTCGATCTGATGACATGATTGCTATATCGTTTGCAAAGGTGGCGATTAGTGTATTGTCGAAGGTCGGAATATCAGCAGTATGTAGTAGATAGAGGAAAGGGCCAATGACGATTCTTTGAGGAACACCTGACATTATGGATTGGTAATTGGATAAACAGGTTTGAACTTTGACTTGTATATCTGTTGCTTAGATAGGATTTGAGTAATAGGAAAATGTGTTGAGGTAATAGCTACTTTATCTTGTATAGCAGTCCTTGGTGCCATACTTTGTCAAATGCCTGTTGAATATCTAAAAATACAGAGGCACAGAATCTTTTTTTGTTCTAATGTTTCTTTGATACAGTTTACAATTCTATGGCATTGTTGGATTGTCGAATGTAGTTCTCTGAAACCAAATTGATGTAAAGGTATTAGTTCATCTTTAGGTATTATTTCGATAATTCTATTGAGAAGGATCCTTTAGAAAACTTTAGATAACTGTGGCAGTAAACTATATGAATTGGGGTCTTGCAGAGATTTTCCTCGCTTCGCTAACATAATTATTTGAGCATATTTCCATTGTATTGGGAAATAATTAGTCTACAGTATTTTATTGAATATTGTAGTAATAAGTACAATTGCTTTTCTTGGTAGATATTTTAATATTTGCTGTACAACAATGAGATCGTACCCAGGAGTTTTGTGTGGGTTTATTAATTGTATTTTTCGATATACTTCAGCTGGGAAGATTGTTCTTAAAGGAGGCGATAGTTGGTTGGAAGAGCGCAAATGTTTCTACATCTGCATCTGTAGTTAGATTAACTGATGATATTGGAGTAAAAACTTTAGCTAAGTGTTCTGCAAACGTATTACTTTTTTCTTCGTCTGTGCGAGCCCAATTTCCATCAGGTTTTCTTAGTGATGGAATTGCAAGAACGGGTCTCTTGAATTATTTGGTAGATTTCCATATTGTGTGATCTTGGGGTGACAAATTGGAAATGCAGTAATTGAATGTAGCATTTCGATTTTTAATTAAAGCGTTCTTCTTACGGTGAGTTAATCTGTTCAGAATTGATTTATCTCGAGAATTTCTGGTTGCTTGCCATTTTCTTCTGGCTCTTCGTTTCTCAGTTACCAATTGTCTTATATGAAGTGGGATATTGCGTGATTCCGCTGTTTCTTTGTGGGTTATTTGCGTTGATTGCCAGGCAGCTTTCTGAATGAGGTTTGTCATATAATATTGTTATTAATTATTTGTTAAAATTGTTTCCAGTTTGTTTTGTTATTGCATAGCTTTGGTAGTTGTGTTCTTTAAATAACGTTTGTGCTCAGAGTTATTACTAAAGCGCTGTGATCTGAATCCAGATCTAAATTACTTTCAATATGACTGTCTATATCTGAAGTACTAATTGTTACTGCAAAGTCAATTAAATCCGGTATTTTCTTCAAGTCTGTCGGCTAGTATAATGGCTCTCCAGTTGATATGGTTTTTAAATATAGTGACTGTATAGTCTCTAGTAAGTTTCTTCCTTTTGGAATGATTAATCT